TTCTCCTTAAATACAGGAAGCAGACCACATTCCCAAAGGCAGCTACTCAGCTGCTTGTGGTAAATCCCACCATGGAGCTGATTGCCATTCTCATCATGGGGAATAACTACCACCAGCTGCCCAGCCACTCAACCAGGCCCAGCCAAATTGACACACAGACATAACTACCACAGAGGCCCTTTAACTAACCAAGCCATGACGATCAGATCTGAGAAAGGTGTAAAACAGAAGATATTGACCGTTGTGAGGGCCTGGTGGCACCATCTCAAAGGTCCCCTTATATAGAAGAGTCTGAGTTCGACTACTAATCTGAAAAAGGTTGGCAGTTCAATCCCAGCCAGTCACACTGTAGAAGAAAGGCCTGGAGCTAGGGTGCCATAAAGATTGCAGCCAAGAAAACCCTGTGGAACAGTTCTGCTCTGTCACACTTAGGGTTGCCATGAGTTGGAACTGACTTAATGGTAACTTTTTTTTTCCCCCTAATGTACTTGGGTATAGGCTTTTTGCCTGTGCTGGGCAGAAGGAAGCTTAGAAGCAGAAGAGCAAAGTTATGTACTCAACTTTGTGTTGGTATCTGCTTCCCTGGGTGGGGGCAGAGCATGATAAAGGCAGGGCACTCTAATAGCTTCAATTCCTCTACAATCTTTCTGGTTACCCTTGTTTCTTGAGGTTTGCTATCAAGAAAAACCCCGTGTGTAGAATGAGTGAGTGTGTGTGCATATGCATGAGTGTGTGTGTGTGGGTATGTGTATGTGTGAAACAGAGAGAGAGAGTCATAGATGCAGCTAGCTTCATCTCTTTCTTTTTCTGCCCATTTCTGTATGTCTGTCTGTATCTCTCCTTTGGCTGTTTACATCCTTTGGTCTCTGCCTTTTTTGTACCCACTCTTCTTTTGGGGACTAAGTTGCTCTATTCTCAGTTCTGGCCACAACCGGGCTACGGTTTAAAGGAAGGCAGGTGCAGTGTAGTAAATTACATACTGTAGCTTTTTTTAGCCATAAGTCTTTGTAAACTCTGTGGTGGAATTTGCCCTGAGCAACTGATTCACTCCTGATTGTTAAAGTTATCCACCTGGGGTATTTCTGTTGCGAGGAGCACAAAGTAATTTTCTGGTAAGTTCACTCTCTCTCAGGTGTATAGAATTCTGATGTTGGGATTGGTTAATTTGCCACTCTGCCAAGCTCAAAAGGAGCCCTCCTAGAGGCAGAAGAAATTTCTCACTGCCAGCTGGGAGATGTGAGAGACACGCAGTGCCAGGAGAGAGACACCACAAGACATGCAGGGCCGGGAGAGGGACACTGAGAGACACGCAGGCCAGGGAGAGAGACACTGAGAAGTAGCAGGGCTGGGAGAGAGACTGAGAGAAACTGAGTGTGTTCCTGAACTTGAATTGGAGCCTGTTGCTTCCCTAATAAACCCCATAATCTGTGAGTTCTGTGTGGCCACTGCAGTGAATTATCGAACCCAGCAGAGAGGTGGTACGTACTGTGGGAGGAACGGTTGGTGCCAGCGTTGGTGAAAGGGTTGGAGGGAGGCAGCATGTCTAGCCTTGCAGGAATAGGCCTTGGGCTGCTGATAGTGATTCTGTCTTCCTCTTGTGTGGTTAGAGGAGGGCAGAAAATGTGGCTTCCTTGCCCCTTTAGCAGGAGGCTTAATTTTATCTCTTGCCTTCTCCCTCCAATCAAAATTTGTTCTTAAGCATCTCATTTCTACTTTCTTCAGGTGTGACTCAGGGTGGTATCTGGACCTGCAGTTTTCCAGAGGAGGCAGACCTGCAGCTTCACAGTGAGTGGTCTCTTTATTCTCTCTGCTACTCTATTTATGTGGCTATGTCTTCATTCTGTTTTCTGTTTTGGATCTTTACTGCCTTGTTGCTGTCTCCAGCCTCAGGTTGGCTAAGGCTCTGAGGAAAGACAAATAAGTTCCCATTCCTGCCCATTTCTATATGTCTGTCTGTTGAGAAACAGGTGAGGGAGGCCTTGAAGAAGGAGGATGGTACACAGGAGAGAAGACCCCAAGCAGTCACCTCATAGCTTCTCTCTTCAACTATTCATTGCCCTCTTACTCTTAGGGGACTCTTACTTAGACTCCATATTGAACAGAAGGACCACAAGACACAACCCCACTTATCTTCTTACTACAAAACTCACACACCTGCCTTTCTTTGTTAAGAATGTTCCCTTCCTTCTCCTGTTAAAGGCTTATCTTTCACCTTTGTATCAAATCCTCATTCAATCCACATTCTTGATTCCCTCCTCTGGTACTTCTTTTTCTAATGTGTCACCTTTATTGACTCTCTTTCCTCAGCAGTCAACTATATTATGCTCTTTCCCACATTAAAGAAAACCTCTCTTCACCCCACATTTCCTATGTCACCTTGTTACCTTTCTATTGCTTTTTGTTGCCAAGCTTTCTGAAGGATTTGTTTTATACATATTTCCTCTACTTCCTTAGCCCCATTCTTTCTTTGTTGAATTAACTTTTATTTTATCAAACATTGTGGTGCTGTGAATTACTTGGTATGGATTTTCTACCCGTAGTCTCTGTAACTCCTACTGGATCATTGGGTGGTACTGTGCAAATAAGGTGTGTAGGACTCTGATGTTGGGATTGGTTAGTTTTATCACTCTGCTAGTCTCGGAAGGAAGGTTGGGCAATCCTACTTCCGTAGCGATACTGCCTCGGAAACCCAAGGAGGGGTCGCTATGAGTCGGGGCCGACTCGACGGCAAACAACAACAACAACAACAGGCTTAAAAGGAGCCTTCCTAGAGACATAGAGGGGGACTTCATTGCCATCAAGAAAGAAGAGGTAGAGGTGAATTAGGGTGAATCCTTGGACCTGAGATACTTGCTTTGGACCTCCTCAGCAGAGACTCCTAGCAGAGAGAGATGCCCAGCAGAGAGACGGTTGCAGGGGAACCAAGAGGCACGAGACAGAGCAGCAGGCCTTCCAGCCTACGGAGCAAGAAAGCTATGGGCCCTTGGGCAGGAGGCTTGCTTGGGGAGTGACATGCACCTAGGTGTACCTATTGGCAGAGCTAAAAGAGATCTGTCCAAGCAAGAAAGTCAGAGGCCAGGCCAAGAAGCCAAAGGCCAGAGAGCTGTGTCTGAGGGCGCAGCAGAGGGGAGACTGTCCTGGTCAAAGAATTGTATCCTGAGCTTGTTCCTGAACCTGAATTGTAGCCTGTTACTTCCCTAGTTCTGTGTGGGCATTGCAATGAATTATCAAACGCAGCACAGAAGTAGTGAGTGTGGTGGGACGGGTGGTTGGTATCAGAATTGGTGAAAGGCTGGAGGGTGACAGCATGTCTGGCCTCATAGGAATAAGCCTTGGGTTGCTGATGGTGATTCTGTCTTCTTGTAAAGTTAGAGGAGTTCAGAAGATGCTGACCCCATGCCCTTTTGCAAAGATGCTTGTTGTTGTTGTATTAAAAGTCAATTAATATTAAAAAGCTTATGTACTTCAGCCTGAATTGTAGGTGAACTTCTTAAATTATTTGAACAATTTAACTAAAGCTAATTGTTTTAGTTGAAACCATCCAGGAATTTCTGGTGGGCCCTTGTAGTACTTATTTGTGTGTCATCAGAATTAGATTGGAAAATTTTACTCAGAAAAAGAAAAAAAAGGGGTATGAACAAACACAGTGGTTCCCTGCTCTATCCTTTTTCACTTCCCCTCAGTCTTTCATCCCTGAGGGAGATTTCTCAGAAATCTACTTTAGATTTCTGTTTCTTACATGTCTGCATTTCTAAACAGTATATATATACTACTACTTTTTGATTAATCAATTTTAGGCATTAACTAAAAACCAAAAACCAAACCAACTGCCAGAGAGTCAGATCCGACTCATAGTAATCCCTCCTTGGGTTTCCGAGGCAGTATCTCTACGGAAATAGATTGCCCAACCTTCCTTCCGAGGAGTGGCTGGTGGGTTTGAACCACCAGCCTTCTGGTTAGCAGTTAGATGCCTTAGGTACTATGCCACCAGAGCTCTAGGGACTGCCTATTCCAGGCCACAAGCATTTAGCTCGTCCGCCATCATCTTTTCAATATGATTATTTTACAATTTTAGTTAGATCAGTGCTCAGTGGTTACATCATTATTCCTGTGTAAACATTATCCACACCTGAGTATTGTACTTTACTATTATGTTCCTTTTCTTTTGTTTTGCTTTTCCTAGAGTTAGTAAAGAAACTCTGGTAGCGTAGTGCCTAAGGCACTTGAGTGCTAACCAGAAGGCTGGCAGTTCAAACCCACCAGGCACTCCTCAGAAGGAAGGTTGGGCAATCTACTTTTGTAGTGATACCGCCTCGGAAACCCAAGGAGGGGTCGCTATGAGTCAGGGCCAACTCGATGGCATATAACAACAACACCAACAGAGATAGTAATTGCTTATTGTAGTTCCTATCATGACTTAAACTTGTCTCCTTCTCTTAGTCAGATGATATCAGGATTGAAATCCTGTGTGTGGCTGAGTCCATGAAACTGATGTGTAAGGGCCAGTGGGATGATGAGTATAGATTTTTTACATATTTGCCATACCACAGCATTGCCAGCAAATATGTACCAGAACTGAATAGGGCCAGATAGTCAGAAAAAAAAAGTCTTTTTTTTTTTTTTTAATTTAAAAATAAATGTTTTTAATCCAAAGTGTTTAGGAAGGCAGACAGGGCCTAATAAACAATGCGTATAGGAGGGAGGGAAAGAAGGAGCATTCAGTACACCCACAAACCTCCCTATCTATACGCCTACACAGTAACACGTTATCTGACAAAGAGGCATAGAGGGAAAGGAGCATTCCCCTGCTACGTCATTGCTCACATTGCTTGGGACTCTGTACACAGGCCTCTTCTCTTGGTCTCCATGCAGCAGCTTGCCAAGTACCCAAAACACAGGGTGGCTGAGGTGCCTTCAGATTGCTCTTCTCTCCCTGAGGGCCTCTCCTCTGCTCCCTTCTCCAGATCACTGTCTGAACCTGACTCCACACCCTGATCACCATGGCCCTGGTCCGTCATGATCCCCAGGAGGCATTGCTGTATGCCTTGAATGACCTTGAGGAGAAAAGCTTCAAGACATTAAAGTTCTACTTGCAGCACATGACCCTGCCTGATGGTCATCGGAAGCTGGCCCGAGGGGAACTGGAAGGCCTCCATCCGGTGGACCTGGCATCTCGCCTCATTGAAATGTATGGAGCCCACAAGGCTGTGAAAGTGGTGCTTCAGGGCTTGAAAAAGATGAACCTGTTGGAACTTGTGGACATGCTCAGTCTTGTTTGTCTGAATGGTGAGTGTGGCAGGGGAGAGAGGAAGTCAGGATGCCCCTTTCCATGGCATTTCCAGAGAGTCCAAGTAATGTATGCCTTCTCTCACCACTGCCCTCTGACTGCCTGAGGAAACCTCAATGCTCCAATGTCTAGGTGCTATCCAGCTGAGGTCTCTGACAACTATTGGGTGGAAGCCACAAGCCGAGGGTGAGGACTTATTTGTAGAGAGACTACAGTATCCAATAGTCATGATATTTCTCTCCCTGTCCCCTCCAGTTGTAGTGTCAGAGAAGGGGACAGTATGAAAAAAGGGATTTAGAGATCTGGGATGGCATTAGTAAAAGGGATTTCCACTAACCAGAAGAAATGGCATTAAGACATGTGAGTCAAGCCAAGTTTGTAGCTCCTCTCCTGGCAGACAGCTCAGGCTACTTCTCATGGAGGGCCATCTTCTCCTGTGCCATTAATGGTTCAAAGAATAGTGGACTGATGTCACCCTAGAGAGTGGGGTGGACATAGAACCTGAATTGCCTCTCATCTCTTCTGGTAGATACCGGGAGATCTTGTGGTACCTCCGCTCCCTCCCATAAGCCTCCTTTCCTCCTGAGAGCTCCTATGACATAGAAATGGGAGGGTTCGGTAGACTCAACATTTGTCCCAAAGATGGTTTATGTTTAGCATCTGGCCCAACCAAGAACAGGTTATTATTATCTCCCCATACCCCAGCTTCCCTTTCCATCCCTTATCTTGTTCTTCACATCTTCAAATGGGAACATTTCATATGAACACTCAGTCCCCATTCTCACATAAAGACTTTCAGACATACACATACTCTTATAAACTCACACTTATAAATACACACTAACACGGCTTCCCTACATGCTTCCCTAAGCACACTTACATGAAAAAATGTGAATACAAACATTCACTCACACCCTCCAAATATCCACATACACAAAACACACTGTTGCACACTCATACAGGTGTGCACATATGCAACACAGATGCACATACACACATAGAGTGGTCCCTTCCCATGACACCAGAATTGTAGTCTTCAAGGTGATGCAAACTAGAGAGCATGGAAGATGAGTCAAAAAGACAGAGTCTCGAGTTTAAAGGGCCCATTTTGTCCTTTATATTTTCCATATCATCATCTAATAACCCACTTGTCTGGCTTAGATTACAGAGAAATATACCGAGAGCATGTGCGCTGCCTAGAGGAGAAACAAGAGGGAGTCAATGGCAGCATCCACCAACTGCTCCTGATGGCCAAGCCCAGTTCAGAGAGCTCAGAATCACTTACTTGCCCTATCCTGGAGCAGGAGGTCATGGTGAAAGATCTGTTTGGTTCAGGGGAAAAGCCCCACAAGTCCACAGTGGTGCTGCAGGGGTCTTCTGGCACTGGAAAGACAACACTGGCAAGAAAATGGTACAGGACTGGGCCACTGGTACCCTGTTCATAGGCCAATTTGATTATGTCTTTTATGTGAGCTGTAGGGAAGTGGTTCTGCTGCTGGAGGGCGAGCTGGACCAGCTCCTTTTCTGGTGTTGTGGGAATGATAAAGCACCTGTTGAAGAGATTCTGAAGCAGCCAGAGCAGCTCCTGTTTATCCTGGATGGCTATGATGAGCTGCAGAGACCCTTTGCTGAGAGATTGATGAGGCCAATGTCAAGTCCCATGGAGGACCTGTTGCATAGTCTAATTAGGAAAAAGAAACTTTCTAAGTCCTTCCTTTTGATCACAACTCGGCCCCTGGCTTTGCAGAATCTGGAGCGCTTGCTGGAGCAACCACACCATGTCTGTATCCTAGGCTTCTCTGAAGAGGAGAAGAGAAGGTATTTCAGCTCCTATTTCATGGATGAAGAGCAAGCCAGAAATGCCCTTGGCATTGTACAAAGAAATGATGTTCTCTATGAGGCATGCAAAGTCCCAGGCATTTGCTGGATGGTCTGCTCCTGGCTCAAGGGACAGATGGAGAGAGACAAGGTAGTCTCAGACATACCCAGTAACATTGCTGAAATCTACATAGCTTATGTGTCTACCTTCCTGCCACCCTTGGCAGCTGAGGGAATCCAGGACCAGAAGTTCCTGTTTGAAGAAGAATACCTCAGGAAGCACAATTTCGATGGGTCCTGCCTTGCTGCTTTCCTGAGCAGCAGTGATTACCAAGAGGGGTGTCACATCAAGAAGTTCTACAGCTTCCGCCATACTAGCCTCCAGGAATTTTTTTATGCCATGTCCCACCTGGTGAAACAGGAACATGGCAAGCTGAAGAAGGAGTCCCGCAGGGAATTAGAAAAGCTTCTGGATACAAAGAATGAGGATATGACCCTCAGTATGCAGTTTTTATTGGACATATTGAAAAACGGGAGCTTCTCAAAATTGGAGCTAAAGTTCTGCTTCAAAATTTCTTCCTGTATGTTGTAGGAGCTGAAGTATTTTAAAAAACAGCTGGAATGTATAAAGCATAGGAGCACCTGGGACTTGGAATTCTCCTGGTGTAGGTCTACAATCAAGAACCTAGTGAAGGGTGTTCAGATGACTGACGTATCACTTAAGTTGGCACGTTCAGATGTAGGGCAAGTCCACACAAGGCCCTCATTTTCTATCAAAAACAGCTTGAGAAAAGGGCTGGAAGAGGAGCAAAAAAGTCCTCTTGTGGGCAAAGAAAATATAGCAGGAACACAAAAAGGGGCTTCTAATGGAAAAGACAAAGGGACAAAGGAACTAGAAGTAAGGAACTTAGGAACAGTTGAATAGGAACGCACAGAAATGGAGACAATAGAGCTGAAGGGTCAGAGGAAGAGTGAGGTGGAGAGACAGGCGCATTGGGGGAAAGACAGCAAAAAAAGAAGGGAGAGATGAGAGGTTAGGTTAATGGATTCTAGAAGGAGTAGAAAGACAGAGGAACAAATAGAAAAGAGAATTAGGTATATACAGAGGATTAGAAGATGTAGAACAACCACATTTGCTATTAATGGGCTATTTCATTATTTAGCTGTTTATAACCTCTTACAATGCAGAATCCAGTTTGGTAATTTATCTGAAAGTGAGTTTTGGGTCTATGAGAGGTGGGGAAAAAAAATTCCGTTTTTTCCAATTTAGAAATTCAGTTGTTTAGAAAAACACCATTATTGAGGGCAATAATACAGTGTCGTCTTTCCCATATATCATGTGCCCAATTGGTATGGATCTGTTTCTAGAATCTATTCTATTCCATTGGTTAGTTTATCTGTCCTCCTTCCAATATCACACTCCTTTTCCCTATGTTTTCACTTGAACCTAGGGAAACCCTCACTGGGATTAACGACATAACAGCTATAACAATGGACTCAAACATACCAACAGTCATGAAGATGGCACGGGACTAGGCAACATAATTGTTCTGTTATACATAAGGTTGCCATGAATTGGAAGCAACTTATTGGCAACTAAAATCTACAAAGACAACAACATAGCATTATATTTAAAGTGGGTTTTTGTAGACTGCATGTAGTTGGATCTTATTTAGTTCAGTCTGACAATCTCTGTCTTCGGAACGCTATACTGTATTTAGACCATATACCTTTTTTTTTTTTTTTCCAATACTGTATATTGATTGTGTCAGTATTTGGAAGATTTGTATAATACAGTCAACCAATACTTTCCAAAAGAGGATATTCAAAATGCAAAATAGACAAATGGATTTATTATAATAGTTGTTATCAGGTGCCTTTGATTCAGCTCTGACTCACAGTGACCCTATTACAACAAAACAAAACACTGCCTGCTCCTGTGCCAGCCTCACAATGCTTGCCATATCTGAGTCCATCATTGGTGCCACTATGTCAATCCATCTCATTGAGGCCTTCCCCTTCTTCGCTGACCCACCACTTTACCAAGCATGATATCTTTCTCCCGGAAATGGTCCCCTCTGACAACAAGACCAAAGTAGGTGAGATGAAGTCTGGCCATTCTTGCTTCCAAGGACCATTCCGGCTGCACTTCTTCCAGGACAGATTTGTTCATTCTTTTTGCAGTCCATGGTACCTTCAGTATTCTTCATAAACACTACAACTCAAATGCATCAACTCTTCTTCAGTCTTGCTTATTCACTGTCCAGCTCT